TCACTGTGTTCCTCCAGGCCGTTTTCCTGAACATCTCTACAGAATAAAGACATTTATCACTCATTTACTGTATGATAATGTAAATGAAGGGTACATTTAAAACTGCAGGACATTTGAAATATAATGCAACAATAAAAAAATATATAATTTTCACTTTATGCTACTTTATACTGTTGCTTTTGTTTTGTTTTTTGCTTGTTTGGGGCTTTTATGTACTAATCCTCCCTGTGTTATACACCTAACATTGGCTCCACATTGATCAACATTAAAATGCTCTTATATGTATTTATTAGTGATAGAAAAACAGGATAATATACTGTTATATAATCATATTACACTGTGAAAGAAGCAATTATGCATTATGGGTTGTTTTAATACTTAAAGTAACATTTTGAATGCAGGACTTTTACTACTAACTTACCGGTATTTCTACTTTTACTTGCATAGAGGATCGGAGTAACTTCTTCAACCACTTACACTTATGAAGTCGCTCAATAATCGAAGAAAATACTGAGTTTTCTTCGTCGGTTGTGCACATAAAAACCACCTTTCTGCAGGAATTTCATCTTGCATGCAACGTTAGTCTCGATAAAGCTAAGATAAAAACAAGTGCTTAATCAGACTATTTACGTTACACCTGTTCGCCACTTCCTGTTAACGCGGTCTAATGAGGTCTCAATTAGAGGTCAATTAAATAAACTCACCTCAGGCGGCATAACGTAACATGGCTCAAGATAAATTGCTGAAGAGCAGCAGAAGTTAGTTTCCAGGACGCCGTAGCCATGGTAACCTGCTGTTGCCAAGGAGTTTTTGCCCTGCAGAGGGCGCCGTTGCTAAGCGGTAGAAACCCTCAAGAGATTGGTCCGTAATAATGTAAATAAAGTGTAAATAATGTATATTTCTAACATATTTAACACCCAGAACAATCTTTTTTTGCTTTTTTTTTTACAGCCTTGTAAATGAAGTATTTTCAGTAATATTCATGCCCATAACAGCCATAGAACCACTTATAAAGAGCCACACAGGCATTACAACCCTAAAAATCAACAGCCAGGACATTAAAGTTGACTTTTTATCATATTGCACATAATATAAATCATATTTAATGGTTTTCAATTATATGAACACTTTGTAATGCCCCTTTACAATGTAGGGATGTCCCACAAAAGGCGAGCTTGTGATGTCATCCACAGCCCCAGTCAGTTTTTTCTATCAGGACAGCTCAGTGTTGCCTCTGACTCTGTTGCAAACACACACCGATGGACTACTCTTGAACAAATCTCCCCTCTAGCCCTCCCCCCTAAAAAAAAACAGGGGCACATTGTTTTTCTTTTCCTGCAAAGGTATCCAGACTGAAGGATTGACTTGTTTTTGTGCTCCTGCAAAGGTAAGTTTCTTTAATGGTTACAGTTTGTCAGCATGTCGACTGTGATTACTGCTCAAGCACTGTGGTTGCGGTGCTGAAAAACAGGGGCAAATGTCCCTGTTCAAAATGCCACATTAAACTAGAAATGTCATACCTCAGACTATATGTTGCAGGGCACATGGAGAACAGGGTGCACACATGCACTTTGGTATTAAAGGGTAGAGAAACAAACAATTAAAAAAGTACAAAAGAGGTATCTTATTGCTGCTGGCATCCTCCCCCCAAAAAATATGTTTATTTTCTAATTTAAGATCTTTTAATTTAAGCTTATATTATTAGTTATTTCCTAGATACATAGCCAATATCCTTCTTTATAGGTGCATTACACAGTGAGCAAAGTCATGTTTAAAATAGGACAAAACACATGAGCAGAGATTGTAGAAAGCTACTTGGTAGAAGAGTCAAACCCTTTTTGGATTTTGACATCTCACATTTAAACACTATTTGTATAGGTTTTTAGGCTCTCCAGGTGCAAACTGAGGACGGCAGAGCCTTATTTTATTTACTGGTTTCTTTAAAGCAAAAGTGCAAAAAAAAAAAAAAACAATAATGCTGTCACACCTAACAAGAACAACCTGCTCACGATAACATATGGTGAACATAAAGTGGTCAAATATGGTTTCCAAGACCAATGTGTTTCTAATAAAGGGTAAATCACATGGTAAAGAGTGTAAACCCTCTTGTTCTGGGACAGATGGCTTTCACAGTCAGGGAGTAACTTTACTTTGAGTTATTAAGTGTCTCTGTAGGCCATTAGAGAGATATACTGTGTGTCTTTGGGTGTGTTCAAGAACATATTAATCTTTTAAGCTGACAAAGATTTCCTGAATTAGCAGTCAGGGGAGCTGGAAATTATTCAAGTTTGTTGGTCTGTGTCAGACCAGAACTGTTTTTTTAATCCAAACAAGAAGCAGAGGATTTGGGGAAAGTATCACTCCCATACCGCAGTTAAAAAGACTGTAAAAGATCATCGTTTAGACTCATGAGAGACTGTGTACTGTCTTCATGCTCTCCGCAGTCTTTTCACATAAGTTATTGCGCAACCTCTTGGTCACATCGTCTCCAATAATCGAGCCTTGTGTGTGACACATTGCTTCATAAAATGTTTGGAAAAGACACAGCTGCCATACTATTATGATATTAAATATGTTAAATATGTCAAGCTAATTTGCAAATATTAACCTTATAGCCATAAATGCCTTCTTTGGACAGGTGTCTTTCTCTGTCTGACAGATCAATAGATCATGATTGATGATTGGCTCATTGGAAACTCCAGTTTAAAAAGGCGGATCAGTTCTGTAGTCATGAACGGGTGATTTTCACTAGAGTTTTATGATATTTTGTTTTTTTTTTATTACATTCTGCGCTGTTTTGTAGTGTTTTCTTGTTGAGTTGTTGTGTATTTGTATAAAGGCCAATCAGGGACGGGTGTTGCAAAGGCTATAAAAACTGTGAAATGTGACACAGGTCTGTGATATGTACTTGTATTTATGAAGAAAACATTACGTAACTACTTTAAAAAACAGTGCTACTCCAAATAGAGCCTATTCCAATTTATACCCTCCAGTCTTTGCTCCTTTATCTCTTTCTGTATGTTATTGATTACCAGCAGATTGTCTTGACGCGCTCCAGCTCCTTGGTGCGAACACCAGGGCAACGTGCACCGGCTATGTGGGTTCACCCCAGCACACCTGGAAAACCATGAACAACAGAATATAATTAGTAAGGACACAAAAAGGAATTACAGCAATAGCATCTGGGAAGCGCAGAATGATTACCTCCTAAGTTTCCCGGGCTCT